CCCCAGGGGGCGGGGCGGACACGGCGGCGCTGACCGACCGCCCGCACGACCCTCCTTCTCTCCGGGGCGGCCGGAGCGCGGGAGGCAGGCGGGCCGCGGGGCGCCAGTACCCCCTCATCGCTCCGGGGAGCCGGGGCCCCGGCGCCCGGAGACCTCGGCGGCGGCCGGGTGCGCTTCCATGGCGGACGCCCCGCGCCTATGGCGAGGACAGAGAGTGAGCACAGGGACAAGCAGCGACCACACGGTCCTCGTTGCCGCCCGCCCGAGGGTCCCTCGGCCCCTACGGACGCCAGATGTCAGCGTCCCCAGGCGCCGGCCGCAGCTGCTTCTCGGTCTCGGCCCCTGCGGCAACTCATCACCGTGCGCGCCCTCCGCTCCCCTCCTCCGCGGTGCGGGGGCGGCTGGGAGATGGAGTGCGGCGCCCGGTAGGGGCGGTAGGGCGTCGCCCCACAGGGACTACAACTCCCAGAATGCACCGCCGGCCTAGGGTCTGGGGCTCTGCCTCTCCCTCCCTCTCGCCCCTTTGGTCTCTCTCCAGCCTCCGCCTCTGCCTGGGGACCCGCGGGCTGGTGTCCTTAGAACCGGTGGAGTCGGCTTCGCCTCCTGTGCTGGGCCGAGGCGCCAGTGAGACTTCAGCCACTGACCCCCACAAAGTCGTCTTTAGAGCCCCGATCGACGAAGAGGGAGGAGAGGATCGACGCAGAGGGAGGAGAAGGGAGGTGGCTGCCTGAAAAACTGGTTGCACGTGAACCCAGCCCTGTCGCCGGGGGCAGAGGTGGGATACTAGGACTTTTGGGGAAGTACTCACGTCCCTGCCAAGGAGACTGGTTAGGGGCACGGAATATCATTTTTTCTTTGCAATGGATGTTACATTCTATGTTTTCATAGGTGATTTTGGAAATAGCCCGCGAATGGCTTAAGGACGTCCTTTGTGCCCTTAATTCACAGTAAATTTGATTCAGCTGCTTTCTTGAGGCCACGCGACAGATGATCCACAGCTGAAGATTTTGCTGCACTACCTTGAACACAGGTCTGTGAAACAAGACACTTCAATAATCTCAAATACTGTCAGAATTATGTGGGGTTTTGGTTTGGTGGTTTTTTGTGCAGCTGGCCGGTACAGGGATCCAAACCCGTGACCTTGCTGTTACCAAGTGCCTGAAATTAAAACTGCCTAGTTCTGCCAGACTGTTCATTTGTTAAACAGGTGCCCCTGGAGGAGTTGAGGATAAATGTCTCTCCGTTAGAAGGAATCAGTCTTCACGTTTTCTTGTGATTCTTTTGCTCCCTGCCGCACCTTTCCTGCTTTTCTACAAATTCCTCTTCTCTGTCTCCTGTCTCCAAAACTAAATCTAAGCCGCAGTCCCTTGACTTAAGTGTATTCCAGTCATATCTAGCTGCCCTACTGTGAGTTGTCTGTCTGCGGCAACTGTCGGAATCCTGCCGATGTAGCCAATTGTACTGTCGGGTTGGGGCTCACAGGCCCTTGAAACCCATTGTACAGACTGGGTCACCAGACCCCTAACATGCAGGTCCACGCTAGGTAGTTGGAGAAGATCCTGGGAGCTGTTAGACGACTCGAGCTCAATCCTCAGCTTCCTCAGCAGCAGCAGCAGCAGCAGCAGCTGTGGCCTCCTGGAGGGTCCCAGGGACCCTGGCAGCAACAGCTTGCAGCAACAGCAGCAGCAGCAGTAGCGGTGTAGGAAAAACATAGGTAAATGGTCAGGGTCCCTCAGATGTCCAGTATCTTACCGAGCATTTGATGTAAATATGCATGCGTTCCCAGGTCTTCCTTGGTTATTGTCTAATGTAATTGTGCATGTGCACCCAAGTGTCCTGGGTTATGAACTTAAGTATAACGGATGAGTGGCTCTGATCCATGGTGCCCCCTGCCCCAGGTATACCTCCCAGGGGAGCCACGGGGAGGCCGCTATTGCTGCTGGAAGCTGTTGCTGCCAATGTTCCCTGGATGCCCCAAAAGGCCACAGCTGCTGCTACTTCTGTTGCTACTGCTGCTGCTACGGCTGAGGACTAAGCTCATGTCGTCTGCCAACAGTTCCTGATCTCTCCCAATTACCAGTTGTGTATTGGCTATCTTGCCTGGGGGACAGTTTCAGAAACTTCCATTTGGACTGCCCCCCTCTGACAGCACTGACCTCATAGACAAGGAGCCAATGTGTGGGTTATGCCAACTGCAGAGTATATTTATACATGGAAATGGGGAAATGACCTCTGAGTGAGTGTACAGATTCAGTGGGCCCACTATGCACCAGACTTAAGCCAGGACCCCATTAGTTACTGGACTCCTATTAGCCCCTGCTCTAACAAGGAGTCCATGATGCTTTGGGTCTCTGGGTATCAAAGTTAAGTCAGAGTCTGTATGCAATAGTATGGGGTCTTTCCCTTTCTCCAGTGTACAGTCACCCAAGCAAATGGTCATATGACCATTTGGGGAAGGATGGGGTGAATCATCACAGTACATGCTTGTGGTGGTGTTGCAGGGTACTTCTTGGGGAACTGGCCATCTCTTCAGTCAATAGACTTTGGATCGATCTGAAAATTGGCTCAGGCCCAGGAACCAAACAAAGGATTATGGCTTTTTATTGGGGCAATTGTGGTAAGCCTCCTGCTGCTCCATTCCTGCCCTTTTCTGGTTGTAGATGTGAGGCGTTACCGTTGCTGGCCCCTTGTCTATTTTGCCCCCAGGGATGCCATGCTTTATTATTCATCTCCCCTACTCCTTGAAGGTCAAACCTCCTGTTTTAGTCCATTTCTGTTGCTCATAACTGAATACACCTGAGTAATATATAAATAAATGAAATTAGAGGCTGGGAAGTCCACAGTCCAGGGAACACATCTGGTGAGGGCCTTCATCCTGGTGGGGTGATTTTCTACGGCAGCTCGGGGTATTGCATGGTGAGAATGGGCTGAGCAAGAGAAAGCTAAACTTCCCACCTGCCCTCCTTAAAGCCATCAGAACCACTCCCATTACTGCATGAGTGGATCAATCCATTCACCAGGGCACAGTCCTCACAATCTAATCGCCTCTTAAAATTCCCACCTTTCAAATACCTAAATTGGATTTCCCACCCTCTTAATACTGTTACAATGGGGGCCAAGCTTCTAAGACATGAACTTCTGGGAGACACATTTAACCCATATCACCCCCTTCGATGTCTCTTTGACCTTCCCAGTTGTCACAGTAATTGTGGACTCTCTGCTTCTGGTGGTTAAGTCCTGCCACCTGTTCTCTATTATTTGGGAGCCTTACCATCTTCACGAATATTAATGACCTAGCTCTGTGACAACAAAAACTGAACTAAATGAGGCTACCAGAGACACTGCCTTTATGTCGTGGTTAATGGGCCTTCCTGTGGGTGTTCTGGCACATTTTGTCCCTTTATTCCTTCCTCTGCCATTTGCTGGGGAAAACTCAGGTATTTTTACTCAATCATGGGCTGGAAGTAGTTGGTAGGAACCGTGGTTTCAGCATGAAGGTGGTGGTGCTTTCCAAGGGGCAGCAGCAGCTGGACCAGAAGTTGATTCCCTGACCACATGATGTGATATATTTGCTGGGGAAAACTCAGGTATTTTTACTCAATCATGGGCTGGAAGTAGTTGGTAGGAACTGTGGTTTCAGCATGAAGGTGGTGGTGCTTTCCAAGGGGCAGCAGCTGGACCAGAAGTTGATTCCCTGACCACATGATGTGATATCGTGACTGCCACATAGGTAAAAGCATGATATACATGGTTTATTTTTGAAGAATTTCCCTTGTGGGAACAACGTTGGACAAAATCAGTAAAATTTTAACTTTCTAGGTACATTCTAGGTACTTTCATTTTAATAAAAGTTAGAAAAACTAACATTTATTGAGCATTTATTACATGCAGTGCACTCTATTAAGCACATGGTGTTATGTTACCTCATTATGTAATCATTATTATCAGTCTCATTTTACAGATGAGCAAACAAAGTAGCACATAACTAAGGAGCTGCTCAGATTTACAAAGTAAGTAGAAGAGATAGGATTGGAACCAGGTCCAACCAATTTTAGTTTTTGACATAGAGATTTTTGTACATATTATATTAGATATGCTATTTATATGTATTAGGTATTTATAACTAAATATTTTATTTTTTGATGCTATTGTAATACACTGGCTTTTTAATTCCATTTTCCAATTGTTCATTGCTAGTGTATTAGAAATACAATTAATTTTTGTATATTGACCTTGTATCCTGGGATCTTGAAAAACTAAATTAAAATTTTTACAGTTTTTTATAGATTCTATGGAATTTTCTATGTAGACAATGTCATTTGCAAGTAAAAACAGTTTTTTTTCCTCCTAATCTGTGCCATTTTCTTTCTTTTTCTTGTCTTGTTACACTAGCTAAGAGTTTAGCATGATCCATTTTAAAACAAATCTTAGGAAGAAAGCTTTCAATATTTAACCATTATGTGTGATACCTTTAGGTTTGTTGTAGATGCACTATACTTAATTGTAGAAATCTTTTCTATTCTTAGATTGCTGAGCACTTTCATCATTTTAAAGTCATGCATGGATGTTGGATTTTGCAAAATGCTTTTTATCTATTGAGATAATCATATATTCTTTTTTCTCTTTACTCTGCTAATATATTGAATTACACTGACCGATTTTCTAATGTTTAACCAACCTTATATTTCTAGGATAAACCTCATTTGGCCATCATGTATTATCCTTTTCACATATTGAAGGAGTTGATTTAAAATTTTTTTTTTAGCATTTTGGAGTTATGTCCATAAGGGATATTTGTATTTTTTTTTTTTTCTAGTAGAGTGGCTGTCTGATTTTGTTAACAGGGTAATGATAGCTTTATAAAGGGCAGAGAAGTATGCCCACCTTTTCTGTTTCCTGGAAGAGTTTGTGTAGAATTTGTATCATTTCTTCCTTAATTGGGTAGAATTTATCTGTGAAGGAATTTGAATCTGGAGTTTTCTTCATGGAAAGGACTGTACTACAAATTCAATTACTGAATAGATATAGGACTTGGCTAACTAATTCTTCTTCAAGAAATCTTGGTAGTTTGAGTCTTCAAAGAAATTTCTCTGTTCCATCTAAGTTATCAAATGTATTTGCATAAAGTTGTTCATACTATCCCTTTATTATCCTTTTAGTGTCTGTGAGATCTGTAATCATGTCCATTTTTTATTTTTGATATTGGCAATTTGTGTTTTCTCTTTTTCCACCCTAATCAGTCTGGCTAGAGGTTTATTCACTTTTTGTTGTTCTTCTCAAAAAACCAGCTTTGGTTTCATTGATTTTTCTCTATTGTTTTTCTATTTTTTATTTTATTGATCTCTGCTCCTACGTTTAATATTTCCTTTCTTTTACTTACTATGGGTATAATTTAAAGTATAAATTGAGGTAATTGAAATAAGAGCTTTGTTCTTTTCTAATATAGTTGTCTAATGCTATAAATTTCCTTCTAAGCAATGTTTTAGCTGTATCTCACAAATGTAGATATACTGTTTTTCATATTAATTAAATTTAAGCTGTTTTCTAATTTCTATTTTGACATTTTCTTTGACTCACTTATTTAAAACTACATTGTTTAATTTCCAAATCTTTGGGGATTTTTCCAGGTATGTTATTGACTTATAGTTCAATTCTGTTGTGATCGGGGAAGATACTTTATATAATTAATTCTATTTAAATGTGTTGGGGTTTGTTTTATGGCTGAGAGTATGGCCTTTCTTGGTGAACATTCCAGGTACACTTGAAAATAATGCATATTCTATTGTTATTGGTTTGAATGTTCTGTAAATGTTGATTTGGTCAAAATAATTAATAATGTTGTTCATGTCTCCTTTATCTTTACTGATTTTCTGTCTACTTGTTTTATTGATTACTGACAGGAGTGCAGAAGTATTTAACAGTAATTGTTAATTCATCTACTTCTTTTAGCTCTAGCAGGTTTTGCTTTGAGTATTTTTAAGCTCTGTTAGTTGCATACACACTCATGCTTTCTATGTCTCTTTAGATCTTATGAATTTACCCCTTTATAATCATACAATGACCTCCTTTATCACTTTTAACACATTTTTGCCTTCAAATTTATAGAGGGTTTATTTTGTAGACAGTGTACAGTCAGACATTGGTTTTAAATTTTTTTTATTATTTTATCTCAGGGGAGATCATGAACATAGTCCCCAACTAGTGTAAATTCCACAGTTGAGTTTCCCACATGTGGGGAATTCGGAGGGATCAGTACATCTGAAGTACAATGGAAAGCCTGGCCCTGGGAGAACCACCTTCATGATCAGGATATCTTCCCTGCCATGTAAGTATTTGTCTTGCTTTTTAAAATACCGATCTGATTTAATGATGTATTTAATGTAACTTTGATGTGGTTGGATTTAAGTCTACCATCTTGCTAATTGTTTTATATTTATTCCGTCTGGTCTTTGTTTCTTTTGCCACCTCTTTTTCCTGTTTTTGCATTAATGGAGTGCTTTTATGATTCCATTTTATCTCTACTGTTGTTTATTTTTTATAACTCTTTTATAACTTCTTAATGATTGCCATAAGCTTGTTAATATATACCTTTAATTATTCAAAGTCTACCTTCAAACTACTTCACATGTAGTTTAAGAATCTCACAACTCACAACTATATACTCTCAAGTCCTCCTATCCATCCTTTGTGCTATTATTTTCATAAATTTTAATTTTAAATATGCTCTAATACACACTAGATGACTACTGCTTTGGTTTCAGTCATTTAATTATTATTTAGAGCAGTTATCAATTTAAAAATGTCTTTTACATTTACTCTCCTTCTTAGTATTTCTGTAATCTTATAATTTTTTTATTTTAACATTTATTTGTATTTGTGGGGTATAGTGTGTTGTTTCAATACATGCATAGAATGTACATTAATTCACTCTGAAGATAGCATAGCTCTATACCCATAAATCTCCTCCCGTAAAGTACTTATTTAACTTTTCCTTTAGCATGGGTCTGCTGATAAGTAATTCTTTCACCTTTTGTTTGTTCAAAGCAATATTTATTTAACTTCATTTTAGAAAGACATAGAACTCCGGGTTGATAGGTTTTTTTTTTTCTTTCAGTGATTCTAAGACATCACTCTATTTTCTTCTGGGTTGCATAAATTCTTTTTTTTTTTTTGTCTTTTGTCTTTTTCCGTGTCCGGCAACGGATCGCAACCCTCAGTGTCGCCCCCGTACCGGACCGGGGACCGGCAACGGGATCGCAACCCTCAGTGCTGCCCCCGCGCCTCGCTCAGCCAGTGAGCGGGAACCGGTCTGCATGTGGGATCCGAACCCTCGGGCGGGAGCGCCGCCGCGCTTCCCAAGCGGCGCACCCATCCAGTGCGCCACCGGGCCGGCCCTGGGTTGCATAAATTCTAAGGAGAAATCTGTAATTCTTATTCGGGCTGCCCTCAAGATTTTCTCTTTATCTTTGGTTCCAGAAGTTTGAACATTGTTTGTCTGCGTAGATTTTTTTTTTCCTCACATTTATCCTGCTGGGGGTTTCCTGTACTTCTTAGATATGTATTTTGAAGTCTTTCATTATTTTTGTTAGCTCTTCACTTTCTCTTTCTATCTGGCTTGTACAGCATCTAACTTCTCTTCCTCTCATGCTTTGTCTGAGGTATGGCAGGGTCTATCATTTTTTTAAATCTCAGGCTTTTCGGTTGTGCTACAACCTTAGTTCTCTGAGGGGTTCAAAAAGAGTTACAGATTTACAGTTTATCTGGAGCTTCCTTGTTCTAGTGGAAGTTATATTTTCTTTCAGGTTTTCTGGAAATTAAATTAACATTTAGGGTAAGTTCCACTATCTATTAAAAGCGATGAGTTAGGATCAGAGTCCGTGCAGTCTGGCCCCGCCGGATGCCAGGTCCCCTCCCAGAGAGGACCCAGTGAATGCACGCACGGTGTCCAGGTCATGAGCTCAGAGGTCAGCTGTACACCCCTCCCTTCCCACAGTGTGTCAGGGCGTTTACTTTGAGACTGAGCAGTCACAGAGTCTCAGCAGCAATATGGCCATCAGCCACACTAGGGGATACCCAGTCTGCACACACCCCCATTGGAACACTCACTAGTGGCGGAAATCCAGCTCCTGAGAGTCAGGGTTGTAGTTGATGAGAAGGCAGCGCTTGATGGTGTTCAGATTTACCTGATAGGAGAGGAAGAGCAGGGACATGAGCTGCGCATGGCCTATGTGCTCCAGCAATCACACGGCAAGTTTGGGGGGGGGGGGGGTGTCACTGCTAATACCATGGAG